GGAAACCTGAGAACTACGAAAGCCATCATCCAGAAGATACAGGTGTTTATCAACAGTTGTCTACGCAAAATATTTCGGATCCGTTGACCGAACACTATCGGCAACAACCTACAGTAGAAGGGGACAAGTAGATTCCAGCGGAGAAAGAAATCAGGAAGAAGTATTGAAGGGTTATAGGACACACATTGAGGAAAGCACCCAACTGTATCGCAAGGCACGCCCTCACATGGAATCCTCAAGGTCAAAGGAAGAGAGGAAGACCAAGAAACACATTACACTGAGAAATGGAGACAGGTATAAGAAGAATGAAGAACAGTTGGATAGAATTGGAAAGGAAGGCGGAGGACAGAGTGTGTTGGAGAATGCTAACCGGTGACCTATGCTTCATTGGGGGTCACAGGCGTAAGTAAGAAGTTAGTTTATACTGAGTTAGATAAATCCCATATTCAGGAAATAATTTAAGTAAGTACGTATTTTCAGTATCGAACCTTATAATTACGAATAAAGATACGTGTTTAGGACGTTCAAACTGTGATGTTTAGTAAAATTATAATATCTGCTTTATTTAAAACGAGAAAATAAAGTCATTAAGGTGTGCATATAGTTCATTATATCAACCAACTGATTATGAAAACTAATCATATTGGAACATGAATATAAATGTTTAACAAACTAATTAATCTATAAGTATAAGTTTCATTTTATGAATTTGTTAATTATTCACAATAATTCAATTTACACTCAGCCATGTTCAGTAAACGAGTATGTGCAAGTTTGAAAGCATCGTTAGTACTCTGTTTAATGCCTTAAATGCTGAATTCTTGTCGATTTTAGATTTTCAATAGTTGAGTTCATGAATCAGTTGGAGCTAAACCACCATGGAACAACTGGAAGCGCTGGACGGATGTTTTGTCCTCGTATGAGACTCCTCAGTGGTGTACATCCATGATCCTGTCCTGCGAGATTCAAACCCAGAACCTATTAGTCTGGTGAGCGAACGCTTAACCTCTAAACCACTGAGATTGAATCCAATGGTGTTTACGTCCAACTTCAACCAACGCAAGAAATTATGCGACCGTCCACCAATGTCTTCAGTGAGTCACTATCTCATAACAGACTCCACAAAACCCCTTTCTGATTATAATTATCATTTGCTCAGTAGCGACGGACTCTAAGAGGCATTTCTTGGAGATCTGATGAGAAACCGTAACCAATGGAGTTCAACCAGGTCTGTTTTGAGATAGTAACTCACTCAATACAATGGTGGACGGTGGCACAACTTCGTGGATTGGTTGAAGTTCGACATTAACACCGTCTGATGTTGACCGGATCAATGTTCTAAACGTCAAGCGTTCGCATGCGGGACTGGTGGGTCCGGGTTCGAATCTCGCGGGTCAGGATCGTGAACACACACTGCTGCCGAGTCCCGTACTGGGATTAAACGGCCGTCCAATGTTTTCAGGTTTTCCATGGCTGTCCAGCTTCAATTGATTCATCAATTCAATTAATAATTATATAGTGTAGTTTAGTAAAACAATATGATCAGAATGTTTGGTTTTATAGTCGATGTATTCAATAAAAGTCAATTATATAGATACGAAAATCAAAGCAGTACATCGGTATTTCAAAAATGATGTAACAGCTATTTCTCAATAAATCATATAGCAGGCTCAAATACTTCATTAGGAGTATAATGATCTGTTATTTGTGGTTCGAATCCCATGAGGCGAGGTCGTGGATGCGCACTGCTGAGGAGTCCCACAATAGGACGAAACGGCCGTCCAGTGCTTCCAGGTTTTCCATGGTGGTCTAGCTTCAATGGACTCATGATCTCGACTGTTGAAATTAATAAAATTCACTTCAGTTCCTCTTCCTAATTAACATTAATCATATTATAGTAGTAATATAACTTTACGAAATATGTATTCTCAGTAATTTCATATCTGAATTTACAATAATTAATAGAATTAATTACTGTAAAACATTTGGATTCTTTAGGTCAATAGAATAAAAAGTACAAATATCTGAATGATATGATAAACTTAATGAAAAGTATAAAATTAACTTATTTATCATAGCGTTCAACAATCACACCAATTGTAGGACACAATACGTTATGTGCGCAAACATAATTGGGTACAATCGGTTCTTTTAATCAATTTAAAAATCATATATTCAGTATTTCATATGTAAGTCTTCCATCAATTGTCTTAAGTTTCATGGTTCCTTTATTGATACAGTAATTACTCTCTGTTCCCGTTCTTATTGATTCGATCAACTCAATCATCTGCTTACAGGTTTGTCATTTCTGATTACTGTTACTTACTTACTTACGCCTGCTACTCCTCGTGAAGGAACATAGGCCGCTCACCAGCACTCTGCATTCAAACCTATCTCAAGCAATCCTTTCCAGCTCTTTCCAGTTCCTATCCATCCTTTTCATATCTGCTTCTATTTCTTGACGTACTGTGTTCTTTGGCCTTCCACGTCCCCGCTTCCCTTCAGAATTTCAAGTTAGGGCTTACCTCGTTCGTTTATCACAAACCAAACATTGAATCTTAGCTTTAATTGATCATTATCATAATCATTTCAATATTTTTAAAATGTTTGCTTGAATGTTAACTTCAACATTTTATCAAGTTATTTATGTAGTTTATCATTGGTTAAGTCATTTTGTTCTTTATATTACAGTACTCTTTCTGTTATATTTACAATAAATAAGAATAACTAAAGCAAACTAATAACTTTATTTTTAGAATAAAGTTGGATAATAACTTGTCATGTAATCCGAGGAAGTGAGTTTAGTTATGTCTGGGACTTCATTTTAGTGTTTATTGAACATGTTGTGTACGTTTTCTTTTTCACAAAATTCCCGTCGCCAATTTGTTGTGTCTTTATGGCTCGCTAGTCATCACATAATTTATTCGCCAATCAAAATAGGACTTATTCATCCTTGTACTGTACTAAACCAATGATGTTCGTTCGGTGTGATCAGCCTAGAGTCATATTGGTCCGTCGCTCACCTAGCCCGTTCAGCTAAGTCTAGAACGCCGATACCAGCTCTCACTATTCGAATCGAATCATTTATTTCAGATATACCGGTTTTATATATCAACCAAACAGACCGCAATGCATCATAAAATAGGAAATAACATTTATACACAATAAAGCTAAAAAGTGACTGTGAACGTGGGAGACAGTAATCAAATAACTGAGTATAACTTCAGAACAGTAAATTGTACAATAATAATCTATAGATCAAGATGCAGCTTATAATAATGGGAATATAGGTATACATAGTCTTATTCCTGAGTAGTTATATCACAAGAATATACAGATAATATTAGTTCATTAATAGGTCTCAGAGGTTACTCGTAAAAACAGAACAGAATAAAACAAAAAAAGATTCATACGCGTTTGAGCACCTAGTTTAAAATTGAGAGGGAAGTTTATGGATTCCATTCTCACTGTGAACATCAACATAATCATGGGATGAAGGTACCTTGGGCTGATGAATTAAAAAAAAGATTAAATCTACTTCCTACATTTCACTAATGGCCACTATCCAACGTTTTTACTGATTAGTTACTAAGTAGTGACCCGTGTCTCGTTGTTCGAAAATCGGTCCGTGTCACATTTGTTTTATCCTATACTTCTGGTCTAGTCACAATAATCACTGTGGAATGTGACTACCAATCTATGTGATCGGATATCAAGTCCACCAAATAAGACATACTGGTAATGGCTATCGATCACGAAAACTAGTTTTTTTTTACTTCGTCCCAAGTATCTATAACCATTAAACACTTTCCAACTTCATTGAAAGCTTGTGACTAAATAACAATATAGCGATAATCAGATCACTTACAACTTATAGTATCAATTATGTAAAAATGCCAACCTCTACAAAAGGCAACTTTATTCTTCATCAAAATAAGCAAGTACTTATTGTCTAGAATTAATTTACATTTTATCCTAATTCAACTACCATACAGATTAGACATGAGTCTGTAATGTTCCAACAGACACAAATATTGTTGTTGTTGTTTTTCGTTTCTATACTGTTTATAACTAACTAAGTGCATTTCCTGGATTTTTACTTGTTTACAATGAAATATACAAGTATTTTAATAAAGGAGAAAAATATTGATAAAATTAGGTAAACATTGGTATTAAAACGGATATTTTCTTCCTGTAATGAAAGACAATGATTGACTAAAAGACAATAACTTTTGATTGATGATTGTTCTATTTAGTCAGTGATGAATGAATGAAAAATCTACTACCTTGAAATTGTTCTCAGAACATTGATTGAATTCGATTTGTCTCCCTTTTAGTGTTGATCAAAGTCTGTCGATTATTTTAATATTCTAATCACCAGTTAAAGTGAATTACTCTTTTGTTTTTTAATATAAGGTGGCTGTAGACAATCTGTAGGAATACTTGAATAATCGGTATAAATAGCCCTAGTTTAAACTAAGTCAATCGAGTCTTTGATAGATCACTAAAAACTATTATGAATGTGATATTCTAAGCTATGTGCTCAGTTACCACTCATTTTAAAGTAGACGTATTTTGTCAGTGAGCAACAGCCACCCTGGAACTCAAATTCATAGCCTTCTTGAAATGTTCTCTAATCATCTAACGTTAGTTTTTTGAGATGTTACGAAATTTGAGAAAAGTAGTTTGTTGAAATATATATATATATATATATATATATATATATATATGATTAGGCCCTTAGGATCCTGAATTTCCAACCCTTTCTGTTAATTGTATTTCTATTCATATGCATCTAGATTACTGAAATAATTCAGGTATAACTTGGTGACAAAAAAGAAAAGTGAGGCCAACAAATTTGATAGAAATTTCCTGATGGAAAACAGTGATACTTATCACAATTTAATGGTTAACCCTTTAGTGACTTTCTGTGAACTTCACGAAGAGTCGTCAATAAACCATGCTCTTAAGATAGATATTTACTTATTTAAAATAAATCAATGATGATGATGATGATGATGATGATGATGATGATGATGATGATGATGATGATGATGATGATGATGATGATGATGATGATGATGATGATGATGATGATGATGATGATGATGATGATGATGATGATGATGATGATGATGATGATGATGATGATGATGATGATGATGATGATGATGATGATGATGATGATGATGATGATGATGATGATGATGATGATGATGATGATGATGATGATGATGATGATGATGATGATGATGATGATGATGATGATGATGATGATGATGATGATGATGATGATGATGATGATGATGATGATGATGATGATGATGATGATGATGATGATGATGATGATGATGATGATGATGATGATGATGATGATGATGATGATGATGATGATGATGATGATGATGATGATGATGATGATGATGATGATGATGATGATGATGATGATGATGATGATGATGATGATGATGATGATGATGATGATGATGATGATGATGATGATGATGATGATGATGATGATGATGATGATGATGATGATGATGATGATGATGATGATGATGATGATGATGATGATGATGATGATGATGATGATGATGATTGAGGAATGATTTTTGGTAAAATGGTTCTCTTAGATGGGTGGTCTTGTCAAATTCAATGTCGACAGAATAAGAGTCTATTTAGTTATAGAAGAATTTTCATAACTCATTACTTTCCGAAATTTATGCTAATGATGCTGAGTAGAATGATAATGAAAGCTTGCCGTTTAAACTACCCAGTTACACATTCAACAATATTGATTCTTTTTACAATTAGTTAAAAAAATGGACTTATCATATATCTTGTTCAGGTATATTGATTTTTTTCAGTCACGTTTTATGGCGCTTAGCTGAAAACACTGATCTAAACAAATAATTTACCACCATGCTACAACTATTGTTTTAAATGAGGTTCGGTGGTTGAAGATAGTTTGGAAGAAACTAAAAACTTAAGTTTCATGCAACTTGCCACATGCCATCAAGACGTACTTCCAATCTTTATTTAACTATTATTCTTTACCGTTCTCCATTATTCTTTCTAGGACTTTTGAGGAAAGACTTTGCTGTATTGCGAAGAGTACTGAAAGCAGTTAACAAGGTGTGTGGTGAATCTTTCGAGGTCATAATTAATATGGTTGTGAATAGACGTCTAAAGTCATGCAAACTCCTGGCAGGTGTTATCTTATCAGATAATAACCATCCCCTTCACTCTTATCTTCCTCCTTGTATATCTTCCGGTAGAACGAGACGTAATTACATTAAAATCTGTTAGGGATGCAGAGGAATATATCAATAATTATCGTGTCAAGTCTAATGGTGTTCTTGGACGTTAAATGGACATTTGTCATTATTCGATATTTATTTCACTCGTCAAATATTGTACAAATGTTGTTTCCTATTTTATGATACGATGTGGTTTGTTTGTTTGGTATATAAACAGAGTGTGTTTGAAATATAATGATTCATATCTCAGAGGCTGTGACTTGCGTTTTGGACTCAACTGGCTGGGCTAGACAGGGAAGTAGGGCCAATCGGAACTCTAAGTTGTTCATTACGTGTTTATGTGTCACTAATCCGATCGATAAAACGCTGCGCATTAAATCTGCAGTCCCACACGTTACAACAAAATCCATGCACACAAGCAAAAGTATAAATGTTCTATAATACCTTAACCAGCAAATATACTCTGTGACGAAGAGGTTGTTAGAGTTCACCTAGTCAATAACCTGCATTCTTAACATGTCTTGAATTTGGAAAGTTGTACAGTTTTTTCAGATTTTCTTTTAACCTTTTCCCTTCTTTTTGTTGTTGTTGTTTTGTGTTTTGTTCTTTGTAAAGGAAACTTATTGAAATACCTTGTACTGACAATTCTATACTGTACCGAGATATAATATTGAATAAAGCCATTAATATTAATAACACATGCTCCTTGTTATATTCGTAACTGATTTTGCTCACCTTCACAGACTGAAACGTTACAGCTGAGCTACTTGATTCATGACTAACAGCTTATAGGCCTAAAATATTTACACTAGTTGATCACCGAGTACTAATCAGTGTCGTGTTTGTCTAGCCTATAGTGCTAGTCATCCCAATCGCCTCTAACTATCTGATAGCAAAATATAGTTCACATGATGTCCAGACAATTAGACTAGTGGCTACATTGCAAAGTGATCGACAGATTTTGATCACCTATGAGAACTAAACAAACATAACACTGGTCACTACTCAGTGAATTTAATTATGCCGTTTGAATTCAAAGTATTCTTTTCGCCAAGCTAATAAACGTTTTATATTCGTTGCGTTCTAACAATCTAGTACAGTATATAAAAGAATATACTAATTTATAGCTAAACGGGATTAAGAATTCGCTACTTTTTCAACTTGTATTTTTTTTCTATTGAAATGAATTACACTTTCATTTGTTTCCAGTATTTATTTCTCTTTAACTATTTAAAGTTAGATTATGGCCATGAACTAGTTCAAATAGTTAAACTGTTTATAAATAATAATCAAATGTTTGACAACAAGAGTATTATTTAAATTTATCATGACAATAATAAAAATATTAGTGTTATATCCCAGTGGGTAGCAAATTGTATTCCTGACGTTTCGTGACCTAATGTAAACCACTTCTTCAGAGTAAACAAATAACTGACATTAAGTCACGAAATGTCAGAAATACAATTTTTCTACTCATTGAGATATAACAAAAATGTATTTATTTTTCATTCTCTACCCAATGCTCAATTTATTTGAAACTATCTGGTTCAACCTTAGTATGGATACCTATTAACATGACAATGTTTAAGTTTTTTTTTACAAATTTTCACCTATGGTTTACTGTGAAATAAGTATTGAAATTGTTATAAGCAGAGATGAATGTTGGCTGGTAGTGGAGTTCAAGACGTGTGTTTCGTTTTATTTGTGACTCGTCAGCTGAGTATATCTGCATCTCAGAGTTGATGTTCACTCTAAAACTGGAACCCAGTATCTTTCACTTCAAATACCATTGAGTTATACCAGATAGAGAAGACGATTATTACCAAACTTTAATGGTAATCAGTCATCTAAGCATGGAGCTATGGTATCATTCTAGTCGTATACAATGAAAAACATTACCATTTAACCTAAATATTGTAAAATAAGAAATTTTTTTAATCATGAAAAAAATAAATATTATCAAAATGTATAAACATACATGTGAAACGCTTATCACCTCAAATATCTTTGAATAAGCCTTGAGACCATACTAAGTATTTAAGAACTCAAAACAACTGTTAGCTAAAATCAAAGTCATAATCTTCAATACGAACACCAAGACATTTGGAAAACTACTTTAACAATCATTAAAAATGTATGAGTATTATAAACAATGGTTTACGAAAGATACTGAATGTCCGTTGACCGGATACTCTCAGCAACAACCCACTGTGAGAAATAGCAAACCACCTTTTTTTTTTATTATTTTTTTTTATTATTAATAGCTTTATTCAATATTATATTATTGGTACAATATAGAATTCTCAGCACAAAGTATTTCAACAAGTTTCCGTTTCTTTCTTCTTGGTCGGTCCTCGCGATAAATACTGAGTGGTCGCCAGCTAGATGTTATCAGTCCAGTAAATGAACATGGGAATGATGTACATTCTTTTCGTTGTACATTGCCAGCAACCATATTCTCTCTTTTTGAGCTTTTTGTAACTTTAATAACGAAAGGTTGTACATTTTTCAGAAACGCAGCAGTATAGGTTGTGCGATTAATAGACATAATGATATATTAAAACAAACAAAGATAGATAACTTGTTGAAATATCTAGATGGCAGGAACAGGTAGCCCAGATGCTCAAGCAGGCCGCCATTTGAAGAGGAAATGAGGAAAGGATATTGGTGATGTATAGGATATACATTTAAGAAATCATCAAATTGAATCACGAAGTAAGCCCTAACTAAAAATCTTGATGGGAAAAGGCAAAGTAACAGACCAAATAACACATTGCGTTGGGAATTGAAGATAGATATCAAAAGATAGCATAGTAACTAGAAAGGATTGTTCAGAACAAAGTTAGTTAGAGAATCCTGGTAGGCGACCTATGCTCCTCCTTAAAAAACAACAGACTTAAGTAAGTAACTGTTCTACAGAGTTTGCTAGTTCTTAATGAATAATCAGATGTAATTATTTATTAGGGATATCCTTCAGAATATCGAATTTGTTAAATCTACTCCACAAATTCTACGGTCATAGGTGTATGTAATTTACAAACCTTAAGTAAATAAATAATTTTATCTTTTCATTCTTATAATTAGCTTGAGTTAATTTTGAAAACGTTTTTTGCTGGTTAACGTTTATCAGCGAATTAGTTTTCTGCAAGATTGTGTCGCTAACTCAATGCTCAAACCTCCTACTTTATCCGGACTAGAGATCGGTAGTAGCTTGATAGGGACTCCAGACGGAGAGAACAAACCAGATCCTAGCGAAGGGAGAAATCAGGAAGAAGCGTTAGAAGTGGATAAGACACACATTGAGGAAAGCATTCAACTACGTCATAAGACAAGCCTCACTTGGAATCCCAAAAGTCAAGGGAGGAAAGGAAGACCAAAGAACACATTACATCAAAAAATGGAGATAGATATGAGAAGAATGAACAACAGTTGGATAGAAGTAAAAAGGAAGGTGGAGGACAGAGCAGGTTGAAGAATACTGGTCGAAGACCTATTCTCCATTGAAGGTAGCAGGCTAAGTAAGTATGAATAGTAATTTTGAAAACACTTAACAAACTATTACTGTTCAAACATTAATTAACATAGGCTTTACTTACTTACTTACTTACTTACTTACTTACTTACTTACTTACTTACTTACTTACTTACTTACTTACTTACATATTACGTACGCCTATTTCTCCTTACTGAGCATAGGCCGCCAACCAGCATTCTCTAACTCAACTAATTTGAATGATATCTAATAATAGATTAGAAAAGAACGTGACACATATGTTATGGTAGATTTGATTAACCTATCATAATAATTCTTGTCCTTTTTTGTTCCATCCTCTTTGCTTCTATTTTATTTTCTCTAGTTATAGATTAATTCGTTATAATAAATTTATTATGACTCAGGAAATCACCTTTAATACATCGTTTATACATAAACAGGATGTCCACTTAAGCATTAAAAGTTTACATGTTTGTTCTTTACATTTAATGTTACTACTTAAATTCAAGCTGATCATGTCGAAAAACTGGCATGAATTCTGTAAATATTCCTTTCAGAATATCTATTTATTATTATTAATGGCTTTATTCAATATTATATTTCTGGTATAAAATAGAATTCTCAGCATATACTATTCTAACAAGTTTCTGTTTCTTACTTCTTGATTGATCTTGACGATACATAGTGAATGATCGCCAGGTAAAAGTTAGCAGTCCAGTCAATCAACATCTAAATAATACACATTCTTTTCGTTGTATATTGTCAGCAATGATGAGATCTTTGATTGGGCCTTTTGTAACTTGTACAACAAAAGGTTGTACACTTTTCAGAAACGCATCTGAATAGATTATGCCATTATTAGCCATAATGATATATTATAACAAACAAAATTGGATAACTTGTTGAAATATTTAGATAGCAGGAACAGTTAACCCAGATTTTGAAGCAGGTCACCAATTTATTTTATTATTTCAATGGTTGAGATCATGAGTCAATTGCAGTTAGATCGCCATGGCAAACCTGGAAGTACTGAACGGCCGTTTCGTCCTAGTATTGGACTCCCCAGTAGTGCGCATTCAC